TTAACATTACAGAAAGATTTTCATAATGTCCCAAGAGTGGTGTTAAGTTCTGAGCAAGCACAGTAGTGTCTGTAGTTCTTAATTATTTCAGTTTTGCTTAACCTTGGAGGGAAGGTGAAAGGGGAAAGCAACATTATTCATGCTTAGCTACATTGATAGTCAGTAAAACAAATTTATTTGCTTTCTCTTCATTTAAGATTTCCCCAACTGCCTCCATCAACTCTCCCCTCATTCTTTCTTCATATTTTATCCTTAGTTTTAAATCTTACTCTGAATGACAACATTAGCTCTCTAAACTACTCAGCAATATCAGTTTTCCCCCGAAGACTTCCTTGAGGCTAATTTGTATGGGCTGCAGTCTGCAGTGGTTTTTTTTTTGTTTTTTTTTTTTTTAAATTTATTTTTTTTTTACGACTTGCATTGAACAATATCCTCACTAATGTCATTTCCCCAGCAATGATACACCAGGGAAATGCATGGAACTAGAAGTAGGAATGATGAATACAGCCTAAGTACATGGAGAACGAAGTGCTAAAATTTGCTCCTGTATCACACCGTAAAAACCATAACTCCCGTCTCTTTCCATCTACCGTAAAGATGGAGCACTGTGCTGCGATATTCTTAGACAGATATATCAGGCATACTATTGCATAACACAGTTTTGCATCCTTACAAAGAAGATACATGGCTATGCTTGTAATATATGTTCTGTCTGACCGTACAGCCTGATAAAACAGCCTCACCTATAGAAATAGATTAAAATAATTACAAGACGAAAATGCAATAAATAACTTCCTGCTGTGAGAGCAGGTGATATACAGAACACAACCAGTAGTTCTGGAGGCTGGTTCATTACAGTTTGAGAAAACTAGTAATTAAACAACACCTCCAGTAAGCCATAACCAACAACCCCCTCTACTCGTGCTCTCTCCTCCCAGAGCTGCGCACAGCTGTGCCCTTGCCTTGGTGGACAATGCTTGTTTGCCCTTCCTATTTGCTCAGGGCTCAGCCCTGAAGTCTCAGCACTTTTTAAGGGCAACAAGAAAGCCTCCCTTCTTATCATGGCCCTGTCAGTGATCCTTGACTGCCACTGTTACTTGTTTCAAAGCTTGGTCTTTGAAAGACAGACTAATGCTCTCCCATGTCCCCTTGCCACTTACCAAGATCTAGAAGCAGTCCTGGCTGTCTACCCTACTATGTAGGGTAAAAGGTATTGCAGATGCTGACAGCCAGGGACTGAGCAAGAGGTGTAAACAATCTATTTTCCACTTACTTGTAGTACTTGCTTATTGTAGCTGTGATTTAATGCATGTGAATACATTGACAGCAGGAATTACGCTGAGCTATCACATGCGTGCACTGGAGAATTTCTGGGTTACTTAGCAATGTCACATAAGAAAATAGAAAATGTCATTTTTACTCAGCCATCACAAGGCGCCTTATAGAGTGTGTTGTTATTGCCTCTTTATCTTCACTTTTTAAATAACGTGTATATCTCAAAGGTATGAAATCCTATTTAGGATCCATCTAACCCAGAAAAGCAGCAGACAGGCAAACTTGAGAGGGAACTGTTCTGGGTTCTTCAGATTTCCCTCTGAGAACTGGAGACTGCCCGGGCTGCTCAGGCACAGGGAAGGAACTCAATGGATGATTTTCTTTGCATCAGAACTAGATCTGAATCAGGGAATTCATCTCTCAGTCCCCAAAAGCTACAGTATGGTTCACTTTGGGATTTGCTTTATCAGTGGTCCAGTCCTCTTTTATAGAGATTAAAAGGAATTTTGTCATGGGGGGATAGGATAAGTGGAGGTAAATATTCATAAATACATTAATAAAATAATTACTGGTTAAATGCTGAACATCCAAAGAGTTTTACAAACAAATCTTGGCTATGCTAAAGTAAATGGAAACATATCAAGTTGTTTACATATCATGAATTACTCTCATAATGTTGTTGGTGATGGTGGTATTTACAGAAAAGGCAAGTTAATTTTCAAAATGCTTTCAGGAACTGAACTGCAAGTATGACTTCCTTTTTCTCAGAACAGATATGTGCCCATGCTTGAAACAGTTGCTGAATCTCAAATAAACTGAATTACAGAGAGAATGAGAGAATTTCCCCAACACATGCACAGAAATGCTAGGAAAAAGTCTATGATTTCAATGGTAACAAATTTTGTCTACCCTCTTCAAGAATTACAAAGTTGGGAATTCACCATGCTTATGTCTGCCAACACCAACGGAGGACGGACCCCACTCCAAGGGTTCATCTGTTGTTTTATTACCAAATTTCTTTTTCCCCAGATATTTTCTTGTACCTAAAAGCCACTTGACAATCATGTTTTTGTTTTGTTTTATTTTGTTTAAAAGCAGCAGAAAATATAAATGCTCTTACTTTATTTGAATACAGGTACAAGTTGTTTCCCCAGAGGCTTTTAAGATTTTGGAAACAATCCTAAGGTTCATTTGACAATAGCTTTTCTAGGATTTCCCTGAAAAACAACAGTACAGGGGTTCAATTTTCATATTTAAAGCATTTAATTTTGTAATAATCTCTGTCCTCTGACTCTGACAGATTTAAAGAAATTAGTTTGCTTTTAATTTGAAAAAGGTGTAAGCATGGAAGGTAAGTCAATGAGCCTCTGAAAATAAATCAGAAAAAGAAAATTTTCCTTTTCTCAACTGGTTGCTGTGTGGAAGCACATATGATAACTAGCTTCTTCTCACCACATTTTATTCGCTTAATCTCAAAGTGTGTCAGGAAGAGGAACGTGTGACTGTCTCTCTAAAATGGAGGGGAACTGAGGCACAGAGATGTGATGTGGCTCATGGACATTGTGCAAGTCAGTCCAAAAGCCAGGCTAAAACTTGTTTCATGATGACCAGCTTGTAGATAACAGGTCTACACCATCTTGAGAGCAACTCTCTTGGGTGAGAAATTTTGTTTTCTGTGAACCATGCAGTAGGCCGGAATAAAATAACCAACCAAAAATCCATCAAGGCTCAACAAATAAGAGCCAAACTCCAGAGCTTTTTATTCAAACAGCTGCAAGGTTACACCCCATGCAATCACAGCCACAGGCTATGATACACACTTCCTGACCTTGGAGAGGCTCATTTTTGGGATAGAGTTTCACAGTGATTTCACATGAATCATTTTCTTGAGTCCTAGTGTTAATCAGGAAAGATGAGAGGCTGGCTTCATTTTCATTAACTCTAACCATCTGTTGGTATGAAGACTGGCTCTCCCCTCTCCTGAGATCTTCTACAATTGCAGTCATCCTTTGCACAGCTTAGAAATGACTGTGCTAAATATTGTATTAGTGAACACTGGGTTGAAAACCCTGTGACAGTGGCAGGTCAATGTTCTTTGATTCTATTTGAGAGTCTATTTCAGGAACTCATTGAGCTGTTTTGGGGCTATGTCACGTGCACAACTAAAATTTACAGCAGCGCACAGCAGTCAGAAAGCATTTCTAAATATTTATGCATATACACTGAGACACCCAAATGTACACATAATCAAGCCTGCAGGTTCCTACTGTGCAACTGATTTACTTTAAAAGGATTACTAGAATCAAAGTAGAAATGAGCCCTCTTCAAATGATGTCCTCCTTTGGGCTGAAGAAGTTATGTGTATGTTGGATAGACAGAACATAGATTGTTGTGACCATGATGCAGTTGCTGTCATATTTTGACCATGCAAAGCAGGACAATATATTTGAGAGCATTGAAAGAACCCCCTGATACCTCACCCCATGCATGTAGCCCACATTTCCAACCTCCAAGGGCATTTTTAAAATAGACAATTGACTGGGAATATTTTTACTCTTTTTTTAATCTTCAGCAAACGACTCTTTGAAGTTAATAGGCATCAATTTCACCCCCAAGAGTCCATCAAAACATCAAAGCTATATACCTCAATACATTACAGTTGTCTAATGACAACTGAAAAGCACAGCTAGGCTACTTGCTTTGACAATCCTCACTTACTTAATGTTTAAAACACCTAGGTACTACCTGAAAGTAAAGCTCTGTCCACAAGGAAGAGGACTTAGAGAAGATATCTCATCTGAAAGATTCAGTGTTTTAACTGTCTAGAATTGATTTCTGTGTTAACTCTTAAGAATAGATTTATTGGCTTAGAAACTTGCTTGCTTAATGTGCAATAACTGCAAGCTGGATGAGATGGGCATACATGAGAAATTATCACCCAGAGTTCGGTTCTTGTCACTGTCTGTTATGAGCCCCAATCTTTCCACTAAACTCACTCTAATCGTTTCAGTTTGCCTACAGGTAAATTCGACCATTCACATCATGCACACTTTATTTCTTGAATATGGTGAACTAACATCAGAAGCTACATTAAGGAGCTTTAGTTTGATCAAAACTTAATTCATTTTGAATTACTGGAATAATATTCAAGAGGAAAGGAAGGTATTTACTCATTTTGTCATGATCACGTAAAGCCTTTGATTCTGTTTTCTCAAATATGAGCTGCCATTAGAGATGAGGAAAGCTGCCCTTCCTCCCTAAGCAGAAGCACTTAGAGAAGCGTATGAACTGAGCTACTGTAGAGAGATTTTTGGTTCATCTCTGTTCCAAGACTAAAAGCCCAGTTATTTCAGAGTGGATATTTTCCCTTTCTCTATTAGTCTTTCATATCTCATTAGTTCTGAGCATATCAAGTTGTCTACCTGACCATAAAACATTTAACAGAGAGATAATGCAAAATGAGATTGAAAGCAAAATAAACATGATGGTATATTCTATGATTTTCTTGCTGCCTCTTTCTTTTTGGAGTCCTAAAACAATTTCTCTCTTTAGCCCAGGATTTCAACAAGAAAACAACTCTCTAATTTGTACAAAACAGTTTTACTACAGTCTTCTTAAGAGCTTTTAAAGAAACATAGATTTGTTGGAGGCGATGTTAATGAGGGGCATATGTGAGCAGTTAGAGACTACCAGAATTTGGAAATGTGAGTGTGAAAGGTATACAAAGCAATATATCAGCTCATGTAGTTCCAGAAAACCTGCTCATGTTTCTTCTGTGCTCATTTCCACCAATCGTAAGTAAGGGTGTCATTTCTCAACTGGTAGAGTGATTTGAGATGACTTCTGGTTTAACCTGGACCAGCAGAGTCTAAGCTTCTAACTGCTTGCTGGGTATTAAATAAATCCAAGTTTACTCTTTCCACCAAGCTTGTGTGGTTCCAGCTCCCCCCTGTGCTTTGTTCTCCCTCCATGTTCCCAATGTAGATCTCTGAAGGCTTCTTACGGGTGTGCTGTGGGGGGAGGTTGTTTTGAAGCTAAACTGTACAGCAGCTCTGTATTCTGAAACCCTGCTTTCTCATTACAAGGTATCCTAATCTTTTTCAAAGAGTAGCTGAAAAAGAAAGTAAAAAATGAGCTGGCAATGAGCCTTGATGTGAAGACACGCTTTGAACAGTTAAGGGATAAACACCGGGATTGGAAGCCAGAACCCCCAGCTAGGTGCAGTAGCCAGGGTTTTGAGTGCACAATAATGGCTATAAAAAAAATAATAAAATTGTTTACCTTCTTGAGGACTAGCCAATAACCTGGACTGTGAGGACTGAGTCCTTGTATTTTAATCCTTGGTGTTATGATTGATGATACTATTCTTAGTCATAGGAATGTGTCATCCTATTCTAAGTTTAAATAAGCTGCATGCCTCCATAGCAGTTTGCAATTGTGAGTTCCAAAGAGCAATTGCTGAAACATGCCTCAATGACTCCACTGCTATTATTTTATAATATTGAGTTAGTGCTATTCAGCTATATGCTGCAAGCAGATACTTTGGCTAGACATTTTAGTAGCTTCATGTTCATCGCTTAATGAATTTAATAAATATCAAGTGTACTCTAAGGACACCAGTACTCCTTTTCAATTAATGCAAAAACAGAAGTGAGGTTTTCTTAAAGAAAGCCCTAAAGTAGGGAGGATTAGATCTGCAAGACAGGACTTGATACAACCCTGTTGCAAAGATTCAGTCTTACAATTGATGTATACATGGGACTCCACTCTTCACCCAGGAAACAAAGACCTTACATTGTTTGCACATCCTCCTCCTCTCTGTCAGAGATTGTCACGCTGTTCTCAGCTTCACTTTAACTTCAAAGTCATCATCATGCCAGAGGATGTGACAATTGGGTAGGAAGGCAGCAGGCTAACTGTGGTTTCAGCTAACTTTCCTTCAGTCCTTGCTGAGGTATCTGTGTGAAGGCTACTAAATGAAACTAGGCAATTAAGGAAAGAGAAGAAAACCATAATAAACAACTTCACAAGGGAAAAAAAGATTCATGATTAGGGAAGTGCTGGTTCCTGAGCTGGATGTGATGTGACACTATCATCTGTTTATCTCTGTACTGTATAGATGGAACAGTTGAGGTCTCCTAGCAGTGCAAACAGAACATAAAGAGCAACGGGAGTTACAAACCTACTGCACTGACTGCTCTGGTGCAGACGGACACAACACTGACAATGACTCTTTTTTCCAGTCACTTTGTTCCTCTAATTTGCAGTTAGTGACTGTGAAAGGTGTCAGAGTAACAGCCAGAAAACAAGAAGTCTGTTTATTTACAGAAAACTTATGTATTTAATTTCAAACTGCCCTTCATATCCCTTAAGACCATCTGGGGTAACAGTATATGTGAGGGACTGTCTGTAGCAGGCTGCTTGCAGGTGGGGAAAGGGGATGGGGTGATGCAAGGGAACACTTCCAGTAAGTCTCAGACACCAAACTGGAAGTCTTCTTTGAAATATCACGAAGCAGCTTTCTGATCTTGAGACCATGGACTGCTTAGTCTGTCACCAAGAAGCATTCCAAGCAAATCTCACCAATTCTACTCCTGGTTCCAGGATTTTTGCACTGACTTTGAGAGACAGGGAATTCTGCTAGCTTATGCTCAGATCTATAGCAAATTTCAAATGTTTAGGGATTTATGCATCTCAAAACAAACAAACAAACAAAAAACAAAACAAAACAACCTCTAGCAGTCAGGCCAAACTTATACAAGCAGTGAGGTAGCTAACTATGGTGATAAAGTCTAGAGTACAGAAATTGGTGGAAGTGATCAGGAAACCTCTGCCTGTATCTTTAGGCACATAGTAGTTTTAAGTGCATAGATTCATCTGTAATGGGTATAATATAGTTTTCTCAGAGTCCAAGGTACTATGTTTCTTATAGAAAACTAAACTCCTCAGGTTCTAGTGAAATATCTATAAATACAAGAGATGTCTCATTTTGACAAGCCAAGTGTATCTTTTATAAATACAGGAATAACTTAATCTGGGAGTGAAACAGAAGGAAATAACCATGCTGTTTCTAACAGCCTTTAGTATTACTAGCTTATAGCTTCATAACTACTTTTCTGTTTTACCTTCTGCTGCTCTGGAAGCACATAATAGTCATTGCTTTTCATCTGTTTCAGCTTCATCTGTATGACTTTTCCATGAGCTATATTTCTTTCTCTGCTAGCTGGTGGCTCAGAATATTCCAGATCTCAGTTCAGCATCTGCTTTCTTTGACTACCTACTTTTCTCCACAAACTCCACTTCATCCCTTCTGCTGGATGATATCTAAATGTCCTGTGAGAGTCCTAATAGATTATGCTTTGCTGCACAAAATGGGACAGAAATGTACATTTCCATGATCTTTCTCAATTACATCGTTTTCAAATGTGTTTTCCCTCCATCTGTCAATTGATTGCCTTTTGTGGTGAGTTTTCTTTTTACCACCTGATTCCTTTTTGTTTATCCTAATAGGTTGAAAGTTTTTAAAGGTAACTCCCAATTCAATGATAGATAATGAGTAAACTGGTTGTTACAAAAATTGTTTAATAGATATTGCTCTTTGTTTTATCTGTTTATGGTTTATCTACACAGGAAAACTATTACACAGCATGGTAGAACATGAATTTTAAGCCAAATAACTATTTCAGATTACCTTCCCACAAGGATATTGTCATCTTGCACACAGGTTTCACTTAATCTATTCTGGAAATTGGCTAAGAAGACTTGCATAATATATTTGTGGTGTGAAATGCCCACGTGGTGAGTTAAATATGGACTATGTTTCCAAGCTCCTATGGCAATAGTAGCTTTCTATAATGGCAAAGAGTTGTGTAGTTTTATGGTCCCTATTGCAGTGGTACTACAGTGACTCATTTATTTATCATGCAGATATTCTCATAACACTTCTAAGAGGTAGGGAAACCATTGATGTCTTTCTCAAGGTTGTGCAAAAATGTTGGAATACAGCAGAGACATCAGTTTGGTTTTCTCAAGGCCAATGATGGCTCCATTGTTGCTGGACCATCCTTTTACTCCATGAAAAGCCTGTAGCTCCTAATCCTATCTGCTAAACAAATCACTTCTCTTCATCCTTCAGACAGGTGTGACTCAGATGCACAACACTGCTGATGGATCTTGTAAACTAAAGCTGCCATTTCCTGACGGTGACTGGCCATGTGTCATTATGTTTGTATTAATTCATGTCCTGATTAGCATTCAGTAAGGATAGAGAAGCTCACTGATGTGTTTTGATTCAGATTCTCAGTGGTTTGATGTACTTAGGTACGTAAGTTCCATGGACTTAAAATATCTTTGAGGATTTTATTTAAATAACTGCAATTACTGATATTTAGGAAAATATTGGATAGCCTGTTTTAAATCAATTTGTGTTCCTTGTACTTTCTTCCTCTCTCTGAGGAGCTGTGTTTACATAGAAAGATGACTCTTAAATAAAATCACAAAGTCAGTTTTCTGAATATAGAGAAACTCAGCAGCCCAAACTAATATTAGGATTAAACACTGCCCTTCCAATTCAATAATGGACTAAGTCAAAACTCTATAGTTTGTTACTTACTTGAAGCAGAAAGTTCAAGATTCCTCTTGTCTTGCTGCCCAAGATCTGATATCTGTTCTGCTGTGTTTTAGAGGGCTGATGAATCTACAGGTGAATATGAGGGTAAGGGGTTGAGATATTAGTTCACCAAACACACTGATTCAAAACACCTGTGTATTTTAACTCTGACAATTTTTCTCTTAATTATTTTTATTTAATGGCATAAATGCAAAGAAAGGGTGAATCCGAAGTAATCTATTATTAGAAACTGAGGCTACTCTACCTTGTTTCTGCTCAGAATTGCCTCCCTGTCTGGGCTGTGACTTTCTTTCTGGCACAGGGCCCATGAATGTGTATGGAGCAAGTTGTCAGAAACATGCCTGTTGTAGGCCTCTTGTAAAGGAAGGATGAATGTTGAATACATTGAGGGGTTTATCACAATCTGGTTTTAGTTTTCTGACCTTCATGTGGAAGTTTAGTGGCATATTCTTGCATGTAGACAACTGGCTGCTTGTGTAGAAGACACTATTGATTACTTGAAATCCCTAGAAACTTTTTCGGCCTGGTATGTTACTAATAGGAATAACCACTCCTTTCAAATATTGCCATTAGTGCTTATATGAAAAACAAGATCGTGCATTAGCACTATTAGCTGTTGCTATGTGTTCAAGACTTTTGTCCACGGCCTGAACAAAATGTGTGGGTAGCTACTATGTGGTCCAAACTTCCTGCTGGTGCTTGCCAATGGGCAGCTGCAGGGTGAAATGCAATATCGATGTGATTTTAACATGAGGTCTCCAACTTCAGGTAATTAAAATGTTGCATTATTTTTATTTTAACACACAAAAAAGGTTCTATCTGTTTGTGATAATAGCACTGACTGACATTGTTTCAAAGCAGATTTAGAGATAAGTTTGGTCCTGACATTTAGTCAGCAGGTGGGTGTTGTTTATTGCCTAGCAATTAGAACTTATATTAACATAATATCTCCTCAACTTCAAAAATTTCTGAGAGCTCTCCGTGAACAGATTCCCAAGAGCTCTCCCCTGCTCTCTTCCCTTTGTCTTTTCACTTTCCCACCTCCACACCCATCCACCCACCTGCCTTTAAATGTGCTATTTCAAATTTGGAGTTCAAGAAACTTTAAGTCTAAATCATGAAAGATATTTTCTCTTAGGGCAGAGGCAGCCCACAGCCCCTTTATTTTAAACCAAGTTAAAATGATGCTTTTTAGTCTTCAGAAACTTTTTCCACTCCCAATATTTCTGTGAGCACTGCATTATGGAAAATGAGTTGAGGAGCATGAGCTGGTTCTTTGATGTGAAATGGTCCAGGTGCAACAAGTGTTTTCCTCACCACACACATCTTCAGTGCTCCCTTTTCTCTTGGTTGTTTCTGTTCTTAGTTTATTGTGGAGACAGTCATTAGTTTTGTTGCATCTGCTTTTCCATGATATTACCACAGAAGTCAAAATGAATATGACAATGAGTTGTCTACAGGAGGATGTGAAAATGAGCTGGTTTGAGATAAACAGGCAATGAAGACAAATATGAGAAATTAACAGACGCAAATATCTAATTCATGTTTATTGCCTTAAAGATAAATTGCTGTCAACTTCAAGCTCCCGACTCTAGCAAAATGGTAATGATCTTTAGTGAAATTAAACAAGAAGGAGCACCTTTCTTGTGCCTTTTCCCTTTTATGTATCCACATGCCCACATTCTTAAAGCAAACACTTGTCCATTATTTTTTTAAGCTAGAGCTCCATCATTTCAATAGCAGGGAATAGCACTTTTTTTTTTTTTTTTGAACAGAATAGTCGCCTGCTTAGGGTGTACTTTTTCATCAAACAAAACACCTTCCTCTATTGTCTGGGAGGAGCTAGCTGTGGGAGACATGGACTGCTTTTTTGAACAACTGTGATTAACACTGGAACACAGTGGATTGGAGGAGTAATCAGTGCCTTGCTCTGATTCTAAAGCAAACCCTGAAAGATCAAATGCTGCTCTCCCCCCCTCCTCCCCTCCCCCCAGTTATCACCATAACAGTCACATGGGGCCAATTCAATAAATACAACAATCCCAGCCCTCTGTGGTGGTCATTTTGCTGATGAGCAGAAACATGCCTGTTTACTATCAAAGGTAAAGTCATTTCTCAAATCCTGATCATTAGGAAGAAGCTAATTGGGTGGGGGAAGTGATGGGGAAGAAATTGAATTCTAAAATCAGGTCAAATCAAATGGGGCTTTTACCATATTAGCATCCTTTATTCCCCCCAATATGTAAATAAATTCCAAGTAGCTGTTCCTGAGAGAGGGCAGCTCCTTGGGCTGCCAGTGGAGGCAGATGTGGTGCTGCTTTGCACTGAAAGGGTGACAGTGCAGGGACAGCCTGTGCAAGTGGCAGCATCAGGGTGGCTTCCTCTGCTCAGTTAGTGGGATAGTGTTTGGCATAGTGTGTGGTAGCATCCAGGAGTGATGACTTTTCCTGTGGCCAAGGGGACAACGCTCAGTGGGAATGTAGTGCCTTTTTTCAGCCTCAGCTGGGAACGAGAGGAGCAGCATCTTTGCTTTTTAACTGAAACTGCTCTCTCAGGTTGCAGCGGTGCCAGCTGGCAGTAACTGAGGTTCTCCTGCAGGGATGACTGCAGCCTTTACCCCTAGATAACAAGCCTGACAAATGCCATTGACATTTGGGCATGCTGAATTCTGGGGAGGGCTTCTCAAAATAAATTACTACCTCTTTAGCAACTATCCAGAATTAACAATCCCCACTTTTCTTGGCAAGTGCTCTTTTTGCTGTGGGTTGGGATTTACTGCTCCTTGGAGATTGGTGACAGCTGGGGGGTCCTGTGAGGCCTTGCTTTCTCCTTCCTGGATATTCCAGTAACTTTTCTTGTGACTGAATAACTGAAAATGCCTCTAAAGTACCAGAAAGGCAAGTGTTTCCAGAAAAGTGGAAGCTATAATCCCAAATGAGAGGAAAACCCCCGTCAGAGTCAGAATCAAAATGAAGGCAAAACTTTCTGGAGGTTGGAAAGTACGATTTAATTACTGAACATATTGGGACTCTTTCTGCTTCTAGTTTTAATGAGCAGCACATGAAGCTCTGAGGAAACACCACTGTTTATGTATGGCCAATATACTGAACATTACAAATGTTTTCCCTGTATTGCTGCTTGTACCACTCCTGTACAATTTTGGTTCCCAAGGAGGTGCAAAGAGTTTGGGGAAAAGCCATTGAACATTCTTGCATGGTTGGAATATCAAAATGGATGTAACCCTTCTGTCCCTGAGTCTTACACTGATGGAATCACTGTAATTTGATGTGTGATTTGAATGTCACACTGAGCTACATCAGTTTTCTTTTGTTCATATATCATCTATGGTGAAGTTTTTATAACTTAAATTGACAAAGTAGAGGACTGGATCCAGGGGGAAAAAACTTTAAATTCAAATATGAGCTTTACCAAAATTCAGGGTGTTTGGATCTTTGGTACTGTGAGTTATTTCTGTCACAAAGCGTGACTGTCTTTTCTAAAATGACTTGATAGGTTAAGCATTAACATATCTTTAGTCTTTCTTTATTAGTACATTTCTTCAAACTTCAATGTGGGTTCAAATGAACCTGCTCTGCTCTTTGGGATTGAGGCAAGTAGCCATCCTGGCTGAGTGACAAGGTGTAGCATATGAATTGATACATAACCACACCAAAAATGTGAGGGGCTTTTTGGAATTCTGTGCAATCCTCATTTTTAATGTCTACCCTTTGGAGGGGAAGGGGGATGTTTGGTCAGTTTTTTAGCATTCTGAGTGCTAGAAGGACAATTAAAATGATCTTATCATCATTTGGTGGGTCCAGAGGAGCTGCTAACTCTGCTGACCAGGATAGTTCTTAGATATGTAAAGGTTCAGTGCTGCAGTACTTCTAATGCCTTAGTTTCAGTACTACGAATGCCTGCCACCTCTACCAACATTCTGCTGAAGCAGTAGAATATATTTATTCTCCCTGCAGAATTTTAAGCTGTTGTTACAAGACAGCCCCTACTGCACAAGATGCAAATCCGTGTTTTACAGACAGGTATTACCAAGGAGGAAGATGAAGATAGGGTGGGAATTCAGAACTTTATTAGGCCTTGGTATATAAAGTTTATTTTTTTTAAGTAGCATTTCAAAATTATCCAGCAGAGATGAGATAGTAGAAGTGAAATATTTGTAACAACCATTTTTGCGACTGATATGGAACAACTTACCATCAAATGTATTCTCTCTAAATTTGTTTTACAAGCCTGGACCTAGGTCAGAATTTCTGTTATATAATATTCATCTTTAAGTTCTAAAATATAGCCATATATAATCATAAAGTTTTAAAGTTATTTTTTTAATATTAGAATTTGTTAACATGTTCTACTGATTTATGTCAGGAACCAAATTAACATATTTTAAAATGAATTTGCATAACCTGAAAAAAGTTTTGCACAGCCTAATATAAATTTACATTTGTAATAAAGTATTAACATATCCAAAATGGATTTTAAACAGTACTGCTATATTTTTAAATCCTTCCTGTAGATTCTTAACAAACAGCTTTGATTTGCATGTCCTGACTTAGCTTAACATAGAACTAATAATCAGCCCTTTAATCCTTTGCTGCTGCCACCTTTGCTCATACAGATGAGAATTAACAGGGAAAGAAGGCAATCCTAAACTTTCCCTCTTGCACACAGTAAGGTTGAATCTAAAGCCAGAGTTTGCAATGGGAGGATCGTTCAGGAGATGTATTTCTGGATTCAGCTGCTAAGTTGGTAGCAAAGCTCGGACCAATCTTCAGACCTTCAAAATCTGATCCCAGTCCCCAAGCACTTCTTTCTCTCACTTGATAGACAACAGTAGGATGGGGTATTGAGCTGCCTGTTAAGTGACCGTTTTAGATTTCATTCTCTGTGAATGTGAGGTTTGCTTTTCTGCAGTATAAGTGTGTTTCCTCTGACAACTGGAGAAATTACTAAAGAGTTGTTTAGTAGCAGCATGGTGTGACTGTAAACTCAGTAAAAGGTGTGGAAGGGTCTTGATATCTGAAAGCCAGTAGCTCACCACAGATGATATTTGAACATCAGCACTTGAGTCTGTAGCCATGGATGCATAGAGGCTCTGATTCAACAAGGTACTTAAGCTTTAGGAGTCCTACTGAAATCAACTGAATGATGCATGTGTTAAAAGTTAAGCACATAAAATCTTGCTGAATTGGAGCCAAAAACAATTCCCATTGAAATCTGCCATCAAATTTACTCTTATGGTACAACTGAAGCATGGGCTTTTCAGAATCTATGAAAACAAGAGTGAGACCAAGCAGTAATGCATTGCCTTCAGCTGTTACAGCTTTCTAGAAGAGCTGGCACAAAGAGGCAGTGAAATAGGACGGTCAGGCAAGGGAAGGCAAAACTTATTCTCATAGATCCTGTCCAAGTGTGTTTGTGGCCTCCTCTGGTTCAGCTCTGCTCATCCCTGTGCTGTCAGCTGAAATATTGCCAACAAATGAGAGCACTGAGCTGAATTCTGTGGCTGGTAGGTAAAGCTGTTTCTGCATCTGGAGGTTTGTTGGGAGGTGCTTAAAGTCAATTGGTAACCCCAGGAGTAGGAAAGCATAAACATATCTATGGGCTAATTTATTTAGCAGAGTCCATCCATCACCCTCAGAAGATTGTGTTAAAGTGAAAAACATAGCCTCAAAATCAAACCTGTGATGGTACGTCCACTTTTACAGCCTATTATGCCAGCCTGATTCCAGCTTTTTTGGCCCTTCTTAGCACTGCGCACGGGTGGGTGATAAATGTAAGAAAACTAAGTTTTGCTCAGGTTCAATGCAAGCCAACGTAGTACTGAAACCCAGTGAGCAATACTTAATACAACAAGTGCAAGCTCATTTCTGTATGCTGGCTGGTGATTGTCCTCAGCAAAGTGGCCCTGTGGTATCAGAGCTCTGATAACAGGACTGCTACCTTTGCACTACCTTTGCTGCTGATAGTAAGAACAGAAAAATACAGCTAGATATTTGTACCTACATAAGTCTGTTCTACAAGCAATTAAGCAAAATTCTCTTCTGACTTGCAAATGTGTGGAAATATTGTGTGCAAATACTGTGTAGAAACAACAGAAACAGAGTAAATAGAGAATCTACATGATGATATTTATAGTAATTACAGTTTTGGAGCATAATAATAGGTCTTTCTAAAGACCTTTGTTTGCCTTTATTACATAATGCTACTGTCCTCTCCATATGGTAGGTTTTGCCTATGGTTAAGAGCCAACAAAATGTCCTTGGAGTCTACAGGAAAAAATGCAGTAGGTACTGAGATGATGAATATTCAGTAGGTGATTCCATGTTGTTATTCCTGACATGCCCTCCACTTTAAAACTCATGGAATGGAATGAAAACTAAGGGAATTTGAAAAGGTTTTCAGCCTCCAGTTCCTGAAAATCAGGACCAGCCATTCTGAAGTGTTGACCAGGCAGATGGGTTGTACTGATACCTAATCCCTGGAGGCCAAGCAGGATTTCTTGTATGTAATGACACCAGCTACTGTTTTTTAATGGAGCCTTACAATCCAGATGTTCTTTTGCATTCCTGTTGTCACAAATGAGGTTGTGGGGGAGCAAACAGAAGGGATTTCGTTTCCAACATGCCACAGGGTAATGCATGTTTGACCTAGCTGTGACTATATCTGATGCACATTGCCTATTCCAGAATACATCCAGGGCTGTAATAACTATATTAACTATTGAAAGGCACAGTTATTGAAAATCATACCTTCATAAATTCTGAACAATGGTATCAGCTTCTACAAAGCCTTAGGTAAAAAAGGTACAGGACACTAAAACAAATTTCTTTCACTGGAATATATAGCCATAACACAGGGTGTATCAAATAATTAATTAAAATGTTTATATTTGTTTTTTATTGGACTGGATAGTTTTATGTGTTATACTTAAATAAGTACTCGGTAGAACACCACATTTTTTTTTTCTTCCCTGCAGTTGGGAGAGCCAAATAAATCACTCTACATTCCCTCTGTTTCATTTACTGTGGGAGCCAAGCTGAACTTTCTGTTCCATAAACAGAAGAAGGAGAGCAAGCTAATGAAT